GACTGCTGCAGCTATTGAGTAGCAAACCTGAGGCTCATACTGGAAAGGAAGTTAAAATCTACTACACTGATGAAGTGTACTTTACCTATGAACGCTCATGATATAATGTATTTGTTACTGTAAAGTGTCACTGGACTGCTCATTGTTTTAAAAAATTATGATAAATAATTTCTAATCATTTCTAAAGAAAGACTAAGTTCTTATTTACACAAAATCTGTATCAGTTTAACTGTTTCAGCCAGGGATGTGGTTTTCTACCAATGTAGTTAAATCAGTATAACCCCTTGTGTAGACACAGATAAACCAGTACACGGGTGCTTGTACTAGTATAACTGCTGACATAAGCACCTTTTTACTGGTATATCTACACTAGTTTAATCAACCAATTCACTAGCCAACATAATTTATCAAGACAAAAATTATATGTAGACAAGTCTTAAGGTCCTAATCCAGCAGTACTTCCAAGACTTTACTGTATGTTTTGTCCATATAAGAACTATAGGACTAGTCTTTAAGAGGGAATGGAAGAGAGTTTTGAAAGAAGTTACTCTGGCCCATGTCCACAAAGGTTCTTTGTTGCCAACTCTCCAGATTTAGGCATCTTAAGTCCCATTTTAAGGCACTACCTCAGGGGTGGGCAATAATTTTTGAATGGGAGGGCAACACATTTTGAAAGGGGAGCACTTCAAAAAATTTTGAAGTGGTCGCGGGCAACCCTGGAAGGGGCGGGGCCTCGGGCAGAAGGGGTAGGACCTTTAAATAGCAGGAGTTGAAAGGGCTCACATCTCCCCTGCAGCTCCCAGGCAACACATTAGTGGGGGGCAGGAGCTACAAGCCTTTTCAACTCCTGCTATTTAAAGGGTTCGCGTCTAAGCAGCCATAGGGAAGATGCGAACCCATTAATTATAAACAATTGGAAGGGCTTGTGCATCCCTGGCTCCCAGGCAATGTGCTTTCATTGGGGCTGGGATCTGGGAGCCCTTTCAACTGCTTCTATTTAAAGGGCTTGCGCCTTCCCCATGGCTGCCAGGCAACGGCAGCTGCAGGGAAGGTGAAAGCCCTTTAAATAGAAGTTGATGAAAAGGCTCACATGTCCCCTGCTCCCAGGAAGTGCATTAGGGGGCAGGGACAGAAACTGCCATGAGGGCTAGATAAAAGAGCTAGGCGGGCTGGATTCAGCCTGCTGACAGCCTCTTGCCCACCCCTGCACTAGATCCACAAGACTCCCATTCAGTTGCAGCCCACCTAAGTCTGTAGGTATCAGAACTCACTCAGTGGCCTGAACTGGAAGGAGCTTAGGTCTCTACAGCTTCAGAAGTGTTTATGGAATGGCCAGGGAAACAAACCAGGAAAAACTTCTTGTAAAGGACCATAGGGGCTAACGCTCTCCCTTCTCTGGAATGCTCTGGCAAGTCAGAACAGGGCACATCTC